ATCTAGTGGGAATAAGTCCCTCATACTTTTCTGGAAAATCGATACTTACTGGAACTCTAATGGAACCATATATATATAAGAAAATCTTATTACATTAAAATGTTTGTATTCGTTTTTTCGCACATGAGCAACGTTCTATTATATACGTAATTGTTGAAGTAACTAGAAATTACCACAAATTTTATCATTTGTAAAAGTACAAACTGTAACATGATTGGTGAATGAAAGTAGGCCAATAAACGAGGATTGTTTAAACTGTCTTGATTATTTTTCGCCTATATAAACTAAGGATTTATATTTAATGTAATATACCAGATACGTATAGCATCATCTTTCTAGACTTGAACTCAAGGTAATTAGCTAGGTTCAGATAATATTATTTTTATATTACAACAATGAGTTCTTTGCTCAAGTCTCAAATAAAGGTTCTTGTCAGAGTTAATTTCAGGAAAAATTTCAACTGGCTGTTTTTCTTTACATAACATTCCACTTGAAATAATTATTTCATTCTTCGGATCTCAATATAACGCGTGACGTCATACAAGGATGGTAACCAGATTTTCGTTCGGCTGCCACTGCATTGAAATATGGAGTTATTTTTTAATATTTAACGACGTGCTCGATATGTCTTATACAACCAAACGTTAGACCAGATTTTCGTTCGGCTGCCACTGCATTGAAATATGGAGTTATTTTTTAATATTTAACGACGTGCTCGATATGTCTTATAAAAAATCTGGTCTAACGTTTGGTTGGGTTATAAAAGTTGGTCTTTTTTTTTCAGTTGCAACCAACCCACGAATGTGTGTTCCATGTCTGAACTTAAGTGTTGAGTTTTGAAAGGATTTGCTAAACCTTTCAGTTCAAATTGACGTGACACTTAAGCACTAATACATATATGTAGATATGAATACACGTTACGGGTGTTTTGGATTTTGTATATGTTCACCAGTCTTCATTAGCATGTATATTCTTTAAAGTTAGGGTAAGAAATCCGCATCGTACTCTCCTACTTATGACACTAGAACTTCACGATAATTGATTGTATACGTAATGATCTCTAATGGATACCATGAAATTGATTTACACTACTCATAAAATCATATATGTTATGCTCCTTACTTTTTCGCTTCACGTAACTAAGATTTTTTTGTAATTAATTAGTATAAGCAGGAGAAGTGTTTTTTGTTGTTATTTTTCAAAAAATATTATGATCATATTTCTCCATATTTCGTGTCTGGTATTAACATGCAAGTTGTTGCTTTAAAAATCCCCACCACCATTTGTCAGTAACGGATATATCTAGCATTAGCTTAATGTTTATCAATCACCACCTTCACTTGTCAGTAACGGATATATCTAGCATTAGCTTAATGTTTATCAATCACCACCTTCACTT